ATGCCATGCACATAGGTTCATATGGGTGGTTTAATAAGTATCAGTTGAATAAGATGAAATAATTGATCATGAATAAACAGTAAATCAATGAATAAATGAAATCTTGCCTGAAATATTTCAAATGTGTGGAATATTTTAGTGTGGTTACCAGTGCCATCTTAAATGAAGACCCTGAGGATTGTGAATCTGCGGCCTCCCTATAGATGTCACAGTGTCAACAATCAGCATATCTCACATTTGTTCTGTGTCTCTCTTTTCTGACTTTGATTAGACATTATCCAGCTTAAGATAGTATACTTACTTTTTATGTTCAGTTTCTCTTTTGCTCCTGAATGATGATTCAACTGAAATATTCATGAAGGCATTATTTGAGTTAAAATTTAAAAGAGTGGTAGTATTTCAATAGGTTGAATTGGAGTGTAGAGAAGATCAAAAACAAAAAATGAGGATAAGTAATCTCTAAGTGTGTTTTCAGGTAATTAGTGCGTAGGATATATGAATTCTATATATGGAAGTAAGAGGAAATCTTTAAAGATATAGTTGGGGCTACAGTTTGTCAAACCTTTTAGTACCAGGTGAAAGCATCCTCACACTTTCATAAATGCCCCAGTTACTAATAGTTTATTATATTCTGCTGCTATGGTAATTCTCATGCTTGTTGACAGTATACCTTATGCTTTGATCTCTAACCATTTTGTCCAGATCCTCTTACACTCTCATGATGCTGCATCAGGTTCTTCCCACACTCTCATGTCCACATACATATATTCCTCAAGCTTTTACATTTTGAACTTCTTAATTCTCGCTCACCTAATGCTTGACATTGTTTAACTTGTTATGTGTTTTATATTCACTCTCCAACTACGTTAAGAAGCCAGTCAAGGACAACACTAATTCTTTTTGTCTCCTACACATCAGCAAGCAGCATGCATGCATCTAATCTCCTAGTATTCATCCCAGGAGACTGATCTTTTGTTGGGTCCCTTTCCTCTCTTCCTCCTACCCTGCACATGCCCTCCCTGGAGCTCCTGCTCTTTATCCCTTCTCCTTTCTCTATCTCCTTCCCCCTCACACAAACACCACCCAACACCACTCAGTTTTTGCTTCTTTCCTGCGTACTTTTGTTTTGAGTTATTCCTGATGGAACCTTGTTTTTGTCGGCTTATTTTCCTAGATGGGAAGTGATGGAGTTTTACGCCTCAGTACTTCAGCTCTAAATAATGAATTCTTTGCATATGCAGCACAAGGGTGGAAACAGCGACTGGCAGAAGGTAAATTTCTGTTATTATGTGACATATTGGAGTACACATACTGTACTGAGCTTTGTATATTTCTCTGATTTCCCAGTCTTTTTCCCCCCACAGTATACTTTAATTTAGTAAAAACTCATATCCCTTTCCAAATGAGTTCACTAACTCTTTTGTTATACCTGACATTATTGATGTCAGATATTTCTGAAGAAAACTTAATTTTATCTTAGACATCATAAAATTTTGGATACAGCAAATTTTTCTTGGGAATGGTAATTTTAATGGTATTGTTTGATCCGATATGCATTCTCTTAAGTGTCCTGGCACCTAGAGAAACTTCTTTTAATGCTCTCTTCCCCTGAAGGTACTACTTCACCTTATCCTTCCTTTAGTCACCAAGTTTCTTGGAAGACCAAAAAGTACGCAATGCTGCTATATTTTTCCACTTTACACATTCGAACTGTTAACGGTCAGGGGTGGCACCACTGTACAAGACTGAAATATTCCTCCTAGAAAAAGAATACTGGCCAGGCATGATGGCTCACACCTGTTAACCCAGGACTTTGACAGGCCTAGGCAGGCAAATCACTTGAGCTCAGGAGTGAAGACCAGCCTAAGCAACGTGGCGAAACTCTATCTCTACAAAAAAATACAATAATCAGCCAGGTGTGGTGGTGCATACCTATAGTCTCAGCAACTTGGGATTCTAAAGTGGGTTCAGGAGGTCGAGGCTGCAGTGATCCACCTACCGATCACACTGCTGCACTCTAGTCAAGGCAACAGCAGAATGACACCCTGTCTCAAAAAAGCAAACAAAAAATATATATATATATATATATATATATAAAACTAATGGCAAAGTCCAATTTCCTGTTCTCAATGCCTGCATTTCAAGTTCCCTCACTAATATCTCATTTGTTTTTTCACCCCATCTGATTTGAAACCATCTACTTTAGATTTTAAAAACAGATTTTAAATTGATTCCTGAGGCTTAAATTATTTATGTTTCTGCCAGCCCTTGCTCAGCTTTCATCAGGATCCCCTATTCTTCCATCTGATGTCTCCCGCATTTTCTTTTCTGATCATATGTATTCCCTAAGCTGCCTCATTCACCACCATGGTTTTAGCTATTGCCAGTGTGCAAAGAATTTTCATATCTGGCTTTCACCCCCTTTCCTAATTCCCACCCCCTTCCCTAATTCCCTTCCCTTTCCCTACTTCCCACCCCTTTCCCCAGTGTTTTATTTTCAAATGCTTAGCAGATCTCACTAGCACAGGCACTTTAATCCAAAATTCCCAATATTAAATTTACTAGCTTCTCTTCCCTCTTTGCTCCTTCTTCTGCTTCCTCTATTTCTATGATATCACAACTGTCCTCATAGTTCCTCAGTTTAAAACCTTACTCATGTCTTTGACCCTCTTCATTTTCTTCATGCCTCTCTGGTCATGAACTGTTACTTGTACTTGACTTCCCCACAACATTCCTGCTGCTACTGGCCCAACTGTAATCTCCACCTCTCCTGTGTACTGTTCAGTAATCCTATAGATACAGTCCTCCAATTTCTTCATTCTGCTGTCAGACCTATTTTTCTACACAACTTACTTGGCCATATTCCTTCCACACTGAATGCCACCAAAACCTCCCTCTGTCTCTCATAGAAAAATAAAGAACTTTCATTAGAATATCTGTTGGGTAATTGGCCTCAGGTTTTATTTCCCATTTTATTTCTTCCTATGTTTTACTCACAATTCGCTACTCAAACGATCATAAATATATGTATTCATATCTCTGTGCCTTGTGATTTAATTACTTTATAAAAGCCTGAGCAACCTTGAAAAGCAAACTCAAGAATCGCTTCCTATATGTAGTCCTCTTTAATTGACTTAGGCAGAATTAAGCACTTTACTCTGTATATTTCACTACATTTATTATTATGCCTATACAGGGCTTTAGACATTATATTATCCTCTATTTCCAGCAGACTGATTTCCTTAAGGACAGTGAATATACACTCTTTTATTTGTAGCCCCTAGCAGGTAATACATTTGCTAAATGCTTTAGCGTTCTTCTAAAGCATTTAGCTTTAGAATTTTTATGAACATCTTGAGTGATGTTCATGAAAAGAGAAGCTGTAGAAATGTTATCATTATTTGTCCTTGTACTTTTCAAGATCCATAAAAGTTTACTCAGATGAATTACATGTTTTCTTTATGAATTGGCAAAAGATGTGACCACTTTTACTCAATGCATTAGCATTTTCTTTTTAGGAGAGTTTACCCCAGAAATGCAGTTGCGGATAAGGCAAGAAATTGAGAAGGAAAAGAAAACAGAACCTTGGAAAGAAAAATTCTTTGAGAGATTTTATGGAGAAAAGTAAGTACTAGAGTATTTTTTCTCATTTCTCTTAGAAGGAAATGAAAATGTAATTCTCTGCTTCACATAGCACACTCATATGCTGTAAAACTTAATAAACCTATGATAAAAGGCAATAGTCCCTCAGTGTAAGAAAGTGCAGATGAAATTATAGTGGTATATCAGCACCTAAATTTTTTAAAAATGCATTTTCAAAGGTTTATAACTTGTTCATGAAAATTTATTTTGGGCTGAAAATAGCACATGAAATCTTATAGAAGCCACTTTTGGTTTTCTTAATGGATTTGAGTAAAATTCTTTTATTTTCAAGTATGTTCATGAATGAGTTCTTTATAGATAAGTAATTTTTGGCGTGTATTTAATTCTCACACTTTTCCGAAAGTATTGACTGTGCCTAATGCATTTTAATCTTTGTTTAGTCCTTGTTTGGGGGAGTGCCTGAGATTTATCTTTTGCCTTATCTTCCTCTTCAAATGTAATATATTTTTAATTTATTATGTGTGTGTATGTTTCTTTTTTAAGTAATACAAGCCTTCACATCTTCGTGTGGGAGCAAATGAACTAACCCTGAAAGCAGTTTCACCTTTGCCTCATGTTTAGTAGACATATTCTGCTTGGGCAATTAGTGTCTCAGACAATCAGATCCCTAAAAAGGAGGGGTTTAAGCACTTACTATTGATGGCCACTTCAGATTCCCCTTCGTAGAGGAACTTGAGCTCCAATTCCCACATACACAGTCAATGCTTGAAAGTTGTTATTTTGTGTAAAAGGACACAGGTGGTTGCAGGTAACAAAACCTATGTCATGGGATCTCATTCACAAAATTTCCCCTGTAAATGGGAGAAAAAGACATGCCAGGAGTCTCACGTGAGAGCTCTTCATGAAAAGAAATAAGATACTTAATAGACCACTTGAAGTAGGGTACTCAGAGTATCCTAACCTTTGTGAATTGTCCTAAATGGTAGTCCTCTTGAGTAGGAAGGCCTGTTTTTAATTGCTGTGCCAGGATTTCTGGATGCCTATATATTTTTAAGCAAAACTAAATAGAGATAATTAATGTCTTTTCTCAAACATTAAAAATGTGACAATCTAGTTATAGGTCTTCACATGAAGTCACCAAAAATATCACTCAAGCCTGGCTATATCAAAATCTAGGAGTTAGGCCCAGGAGTCTGTGTTTTTAGAAGCTTTCCAGGTTATGCTGATTCCCAGCAGGATTAAGAACCCTGGAGGATGAGATTAAAGACTATTTAGAAGCCTTCCCTCTCCTTTTGCCTGTGAAAGAAAATGTTGGGCACACTCTTTTCAGTAATGGCAGAAGCATAACCAAGACAGTACCTCCAAAGCATTGGTTCTTAATTTTTTTAGTGATAGACCCATTCTTGTATTAAATTAATGTTTTTATTCAACATTGCCTCTGTGTCAGACACTCTCCTGGATGCCAGGGATGCAATTGTTTGTAGGACTACCTAAGTTCTACTCCCAGAGAGCCACAGTTCCAGGGTTACATTACAGAGAGCTTTCCTTCATACAACAAATAATCATTGAGAATACACTCGCTCTGATATGCTTCTAAAAGGTTTGCAAATATTATTTAATCCTCCCAACAATTCTATAAGGTGGATACCATTATTTATATTATTTAAAAAAAATTTAGGAAACTGAGGGAAAATGAAGCTAAGTAATTTCCCCAGGTTTATAACACTGAGGTGGAGTAACTTGCTTGGGGTCTTCATCCTGCAAATCCTTCTCTGAAAAATTCACACATATGCACAATCTTTGCATGAAATTTAGGAACTTCCCAGATTCCCTTGGGCATCAGATTTAGGGTCTCTTCCCTAGAAAATGACAGCTGTAATATTAATAAACATGACCCCCTTCCTTACCGTCACCAAACTCTGAATACAAACATTCTACTTAGCCCCTCACCCCCGCCTTTTTTGCTGTAGTTTATCAGTAGCTTTTGTCCCCTCACATCACCGGACTTGTCTCTTGCTCTTTTCTATCTTTTATTACATATTTCATGGCAGATATATTTTGGACATTTCATTGACTGCCCTTCTCATTTTGTTGCTCCCAAGTTACCTCTATTCCCCTACCACCAGACAGTTTTTAGTTGACTGATACCATGTGCCTTTCATTGCTCTAAGTTTTCTCAAAAATGTGTCTAAACATTTAAACTAGTGTCCAGTGAAGATCTGCCTGGTTTCGTTTTCTGCTTGTTTTAAATATTTATTATGATTCTCACTTGCTTAATCTCTTTATAATATAGTATTGTTCTGTATTTGTTTTATATCACTTGTATAAATGCTAAGTGTTAGAGGGCTTGATTTGTGAATTTGTGTCAAGATCTCTGGAGGCCAGGGTTTTCCTTTACGAAGTATGGGGAACTGTGAACATCTTCTTCCTATGCCTTATGCCATCTTAAGTCTGTTTTCCCATGAAAATAAGAAAATGCTGACATGGGCATATTTTATACAGTGCTGTTGTACATATACACTTATATGTATAAGTGTGTATGTATGTATATTTAATAATATTTTGGATGTATATTTAATAATATTAACTAACTAGCAGAAAGTTGGCTGGCAGTGGGTAGATTTTGGTATGTTATGTACTTAGTCTAGTATCAGTAGTATCTCTGCTTGGCCTAGTCCCAAGGAACCTCATTTCTTGCAGATTATTCTGCTTTAAATTTATCTGTAATGCTGTTGTTCTGATCTTCTCAGTATGGTATAGTTATAAATTGTAGCTTAGTTTGGATTCATCTTAGAGAAGACTGAAAGGAAAGAGATTATTTATGAAGATAGTATCTTCTACCTTTTCAGAGATTTCTGAATTTAAATAAAGAAGGCAAAGACCAAATACCCAAAAACTGTATTCAATGTTATTTCCCTTTTACTTTGAGGATTTTTAAAAATAAAAGGTTAAAGTGATTTTCACTGAGGTATTTTTTGCATCAATGTTACTGTGACTATATTTCTTCACTTGAATGTGCTGCTTCCTCTGGAAATGTTCTCTCTCCTACTTATCTTTCTCATTGCCTGGACCCTAATTTATGTTCATTTGGAACAGCATATTTCTCTACCATCTGATGCTGACAATGTAAATTATATGACAGAAAATAGTGATTTATAGTAACCTTGATTGTAACTCTGATTAGATTTACCTTAAGACCTGAATATCATGCTCAATTATTTCTTGATTTTCTGTAATGTCATTTAAGGAATATCTTTACAGTAAGAGATCTGCATGAAATAATTTAAAAGTCTTACTGCACACAGATATAAGCTGGTAGAATAACTTTGATAACCCCAAATATGTTTTGTTATTCTTTAATGAAATTTCCATGTTGTCTTAGTTTAGACACTTAGATGCTAAAATAAGGTGACTGAGTGATACTTCATAGATTAAAGAAAACCAATCTTTGGAACTCATTTCAATTTCAAAATTTGATGAATTTAATTCATCTTCCATTGATCTTAATTACTTGGTTCTCTTGTATTTGCTGAAAACTATATAAATTTCTATTATAAGAGCATCATTCAATTTTCAGATTTAAATATATATTTATATAAATATATCTTATACATTATTTTGCTTTTCTGCTCCTATTTTCTAATAGTTTGTTGTATGTAATTTTCTTATTCCTTTACTAATAATTGGTAAAGTTCATATCTCCTTGCTTTACAAAATAAAAATCTATACTGTTCTTAATCAGAAGTAGAGTTTTAGTTAAGATTATAAAAGCAGCAAAGAAGCATCATCATTATAAACTGGTTTACATAAATTAAGCATGTTAGTGATTATATAAGTAATTTGGTGTATTTACTTCTATTGAATACTACATTCATGAGAGATCCCAGTTATACCTTTCATGTTTTGTGGTTGAGCAATAATTTCATATCTCTAATTTCTGTACAGACTGGGCATGTCAAGAGAGGAATCTATGAAGCTCACCACTGGACCAAACAATGCTGAAGCTCAAAGTAGTTCCTCATGTGGAACTTCTGCTCTTCCAGTTTCTACGCAGATGCCCTTGACAGAACAACAGCCAAAAAGCATGAAAAGCCCAGCTTCTCCAGAGCCTAGTTTCTGTGCTTCTCTTTGCCCTATGGTAGAAATTCCAGCTAAAGGTATAATGGCAGAATCGGAGTCAGAGGATATCTTGATCCCTGAAGAATCTGTGATTCAGGAGGAAATTGCAGAAGAGGTAGAGACTAGTATCTGTGAATGCCAGGATGAAAATCATAAGACAATACCTGAATTTTCTGAGGAGTCTGAAAGTCCAACCAATTCTCATGAAGAACCCCAAATAGCACCTCCTGAAGATAACTTGGAATCCTGTGTTATGATGAATGATGTTTTAGAAACTTTGCCTCATATTGAAGTTAAGATAGAAGAGAAGACAGAATTGCCCCAGGAAGAAATGACAGTTGTCATCGATCAGTTAGAAGTCTGTGACTCTCTTGTTCCTTCCACTTCATCTGTGACTCATGTCAGTGACACAGAACATAAGGAGTCAGAAACTGCAATAGAGATCGGTACCCCCAAAATAAAAACAGGGTCATCTTCTCTAGAAGGCCAGTTTCCAAATGAAGGAATTGCTGTAGATATGGAGCTACAGAGTGATCCTGAAGAACAGCTTTCAGAAAATGCCTGCATCTCTGAAACATCCTTTTCTTCTGAGAGCCCAGAGGGAGCCTGTACCAGCCTGCCTTCCCCAGGAGGGGAAACACAGTCCACATCAGAAGAATCATGTACTCCAGCCTCCCTTGAGACAACATTTTGTTCTGAGGTATCTAGCACTGAAAATACAGACAAATACAACCAGAGAAATTCCATTGATGAAAACCTTCATGCATCTTTGATGTCAGAAGTATCTCCAATATCCACTTCACCTGAAATATCAGAAGCATCTCTTATGTCCAACTTACCATTAACATCTGAAGCATCACCAGTATCCAACTTACCTTTAACATCAGAAACGTCACCGATGTCTGACTTACCTTTAACATCAGAAACTTCTTCAGTGTCTTCCATGCTTCTCACCTCTGAGACCACTTTTGTATCCAGTTTGCCACTTCCTTCAGAAACATCTCCAATTTCCAATTCTTCCATGAATGAAAGAATGGCACATCAGCAAAGAAAGTCACCTTCTGTATCTGAAGAACCACTCTCCCCACAGAAAGATGAGTCTTCCACCACTGCCAAACCTCTGGGAGAGAACCTTACCTCCCAGCAGAAGATTCTAGCTAATTCTCCTGAAGCCATCATAATGAGTTCTTCTTCCATTGCTCCTGAAGCATTTCCATCTGAAGATTTGCACAATAAGACCCTGAGTCAGCAAACATGTAAATCACATCTTGACACTGAAAAGCCCTATCCTGCTTCGATTCCAGAACTTGCTTCTACTGAAATGATAAAAGTTAAAAATCATAGTGTCCTGCAAAGAACAGAAAAAAATGTGTTATCTTCACCATTGGAATTATCTGTCTTTTCTGAAGAGACAGAGAATAAGGGGAGTGAGCTTCCATCTGCTAAATTACAGGACAAGCAATATATCTCATCAGTGGATAAGGCTTCATTTTCAGAAGGCTCTAGAAATAAAACACATAAGCAAGGGAGTACACAGAGTCGTTTAGAAACCTCACATACTTCCAAGTCATCAGAACCCTCCAAGTCACCTGATGGGATAAGAAATGAAAGTAGAGATTCAGAGATATCAAAGAGGAAAACTGCAGAGCAGCACAGCTTTGGAATCTGTAAGGAAAAGAGAGCTAGGATAGAAGACGATCAGTTAACCCGGAACATATCAACTAGCAGCCCAGCTGAGAAAGAACAGCCTCCAAGAGAGGAACCAAGGGTTCCCCCTCTCAAGGTATGGTACTAAACAAAAAAAACAAAAGGCAATTCCATATATAGGCTTTTTCTATTTAGAAGCCTAATTTTTCAAGAATAATTAGACTTTCTTCCTTCTAGGTTTATGCAGCAATTTGTAATCTAATCTTTTAATAGTAAATGAGCCTCTTTATGACTATGCATTGAATTCATAAAAGCAGTTTAGATACATGCATATGTTTAAACCCCGGTATTAAAGAAAAAAGAATTAGAGAGAATAGGGCCTGGAAATGTCTACAGGCCACTGAGCTTATAGGGATTTCAAGGTGTAGGACAGAGACCTACGTAAACCTGGGAAAATGGGAAAGATAATTTAGTGTCCTATAAAAGTTCTCTGGGACTAGGGAAAGAAGCAATCAAAACTCAGAGGCCAGCACAAAGGCAGAGAAGGTATGTATTATTCCTACATTCATTTCCCAACAAACACTGAACACCACTATTGCCTCGCATTGAATACCTAGCTTATGGTTGAGCCTCATTAAATATTTCTTAAATAAAGCAATAAAATTGCCTTATGAACTCTGAGAGAGAATACTGTAGAGGTGTAGATATACAAATCCTATGTTTTTTTATTTCCAAGATAATAAATAGGCCTTTAACTTCACCAAATAATACAGGCTTACAGATAAACATTTCTATTTATATACTTTCTTTTGATCCCAGGTAAATTTTAACTTCCAGAAAACAAAGCATTTATATAAATTAGTTCTGCCTGAGTAAACTGAAAATTAAGGTTCATTCAAAAGAAACCCCAGTGTAATTTTTTTTTAAGTTTCTACCTTTTGTCATTTATACATTTGTACAGTAAAGTAGATTATTCCATCATAGCATTGGTCTAGAATTATAAACATCTCAAATTTTTTAAATTTAAAAAATTCTGCTCTATCTGTAAATATAAAATCTATAAAATTTTCATTTCATATATGACTCATGCTCTCCACAGGCTGACTTTAAGAGTATGGTTGTACTTACTCTTTTTAATAAAGCAGTCTCTAGTAAGCAAGATTCTAGAGGTATAAAAAATCAGCATTAAGTTCAATTAAAACCTCACTATGCATTTTAATTTTTGAAGCCATAGAAAGAATAATATAAACTTTTCATAAGAGATATTTTTAAACATGCCAGTCTTTTTTTTTTTGTCAAAAGCTTATTTTCAAAGTCATATAGACTTTATGTAAAGATAGATAATATGAGGGAAATTTGTAGTCATGAAAATGTTCTATATTGTAATTGTATCAATGTCAGTATCCTGGTTGTGATATCACAGTCTTGCAAGATGTTACCATCTTGCAATATTATTGAGCACATTAATTAATAAATTAAGCATTGATGTTAGAAAGGTAGGTAGATAAATACTACAAGAATATTTGATGTTTGGTCTTAAGAGCTCTTGCTTAAGCATATTTAAGTTTAATTATTAAAAATGTGTTTAATTTTTTACACTAGGAGAAATATTAAAAGAGCAAATTGAATCTTCTCCCCAGAATCATCTTTTTTTTTTTTTACTGGCCTTTGGAATAGAAGACAGACTTCACAAGCAGTTTGAAAATGAGAAACAAGATAGCTCAGGAAGATAATTTCATCTATCAACGTTCCAAAGCATAATTCTAAATTGATATGTATAATGTGGAGAAAAAGGAAACAGAATACATGGAAACAGCACCAAATGGGAAGCCCAAAGACTCTAGGTCACTCACTAGTTATATGACCCCAGGGTAAACTACTTTACCTGCACAGCTTCGGTTTTCTCAACTGTGAAATGAGGGACATCAACTAGAGTCTTTCCAGCTCTACACAACCATGATTAAGAGTGTTTTTAGTGACTAGAGCAACACAGCCTTGCTATGGGTTGCTGGTTGTTAGATCTTGTTTCCTCCTGAATTTGGTGATGACTTTGTGAGTCTTTTAATTAGGAAAAATAGGTAAACGGTATGGGTTGGGATGTGTACGAAATTCAGCATATTGTGGATTACCAATATCAAACTGCCCAGTGTATAAATTCTTTAGAGGCAGAAAATCAGAGTTTCCCTTGCTTTTATGCAAATGTAATGATAATACAATCCCTTTGGAAAACAGAATACTCTGACAAATGTAGTTTCATTTCATCTTTAAAACTGCTCTTTGAGGGAAATAGACCAAAAATAACTAGTCTCATTTTACAACTGAGTTTACAAACTTCTCTTGTGTTCTTATTGTATATGTATAAAGCAGCATACAAGGTAGCATCGGAGTACATAAAAATCATAGAGTCCTTGGCTCAGAGAGGTTACTGGAGAAACTGAGGTACATAGTGATTAGCGTTTACAAAGTTCCTTTGTGTAAAGTCAGAATGAGAATTCTAGTTGTCAGAATCTTGGTCAGGCCTTTTTTCTTTGGGTCAAATTAAGACAGATAAACTCAGAGTAGAAGTCCCTGTTTTTTATGCCACTAAGGAAAATAATTTCAAAAATATCTCAAAATCTTTTAGCCTACCCCACTTCTAGAAGCATGAATTTTGTATCCACTTATATGAGGCATTAAGACGTTGCTTCTTTCCCCTGCCAAATGAAGTCACAATGGATGTTTTTGTAGATTAAAAAGAGAGATTAAAAACTTAATTTTCACATTCATGCTACATTTCTTGTTGCTTTATGCGCTAAAGACGCATCCAGGGATTTAGGTGTAGTTCATGGCACATTATGAGAGAATGCAGCCAGTCCTTTCCCTTGCATTATCACATTCTATGTGCCTCCTCTGTGATCATGTATGAAGCACATTTTATTTTTCTTCTCTCCTCCTTTTAGATCCAGCTTTCCAAAATTGGGCCACCTTTTATAATCAAGAGCCAACCAGTCTCGAAACCTGAGTCTCGAGCATCCACTAGCACTTCCATCAGTGGCGGGAGGAACACAGGAGCCAGGACCCTCGCAGATATCAAGGCTCGGGCCCAACAAGCTCGGGCCCAGCGAGAGGCTGCTGCAGCCGCTGCTGTAGCGGCTGCAGCGAGCATTGTCTCTGGAGCCATGGGAAGCCCAGGAGAGAGTGGAAAGGCGAGAACCCTGGCACACATCAAAGAGCAGACAAAGGCTAAGCTCTTTGCAAAACATCAAGCTCGAGCTCATCTCTTCCAGACCTCTAAAGAGACCCGGTTACCTCCGCTCAGCTCAAAGGAAGGGCCTCCAAACTTAGAAGTCTCTTCTACCCCTGAAACAAAAATGGAAGGATCGACTGGTGTCATTATTGTGAATCCAAACTGTAGATCTCCTAGCAACAAGTCTGCACACCTCCGGGAGACCACCACTGTACTACAGCAGTCTCTTAACCCAAGTAAACTTCCAGAAACTGCCACTGACTTATCTGTGCATAGTTCTGATGAAAACATACCTGTGTCACATTTATCTGAGAAAATTGTTTCATCTACCTCTTCTGAAAATAGCAGTGTGCCCATGCTTTTTAATAAAAATTCTGTCCCCATATCTGTTTGCAGCACTGCTATGTCGGGAGCAATTAAAGAACATCCCTTTGTGAGTTCTGTTGATAAATCCTCTGTTCTAATGTCTGTTGACAGTGCAAACACTACAATTTCTGCTTGTAATATAAGCATGTTAAAAACCATCCAGGGAACTGACACTCCATGCATAGCCATTATACCAAAATGTATTGAAAGCACTCCCATTTCAGCCACTACAGAGGGCTCCGGCATATCAAGCTCCATGGATGATAAGCAGTTACTAATATCAAGCAGCAGTGCTAGTAACTTAGTCTCTACTCAGTACACCTCTGTGCCAACTCCCTCCATTGGAAACAGTTTGCCAAACCACCTCTCCACTAGCTCTGTCTTGATTCCCCCGACGGGAATTAACAACAGATTTCCTTCTGAGAAGATAGCCGTACCTGGGAGTGAAGAACAGGCCACCGTATCCATGGGTACCACTGTGAGAGCAGCTCTCAGCTGCAGTGATTC